TTTTTTTTTTTTTTTTTGTACTACCCATCCTCTCTTTTCCTAACATTTTAATTCCAAGAATTTTGTTGCCTTTTAATGGCTTTCAAGTTTATCTATTTATTTATTTGATTTTTTATGTTTGTGTAAGTATCAAAAAAATTATTTCTCTTATTAAATTTTAATCACGTTTCACATGAAAGAGCGGGAGAACGGGGTATCCAAGGTTATCCTGCAGGATCTCCGCAAAGGCAATATATAGTGCCACAAGTCCGCAGAAAATACCCTCCCATCCCGCCACTTTAAGTACGGTTGCATTCTCCGCAAAGTTCCCAGCGGCGAGGAGAAAGTACAAAACGGTCAGCGTTGTGAAGAGTGTTTGCATCATGCGATTCAGCTTCAAGAAGGTAACGACGGTCATGCAGAGTGTGTAGAGTCCCCAGAGCAGCAGGTAGAAGCCGATAAACGGTTTTGTGGTCATCCACACATGCGGATGATCGTCTCCTTGCGGGAGAAGCCAGAGAGCGACGAGTGAAAGCCAAAAGGCACCGTAACTCATAAACGCCGTGGCGCCAAAGGCGTTGCCGTTGAAGTACTCGAGGAGACCAACGAGAATTTGAAGAGGGCCACCAATGCTGAGACCCATCGCTGGTACAACGCTGCCCAATTCAAATAAACTGGCGTTGTGTAGATTAAGAAGAACGGTGGTCATACCAAATCCAATGAGGCCCAATGGGGCGGGATTCACCCCCTTTCGCCCCTTCTTTTCAAGCACAATCTCGTTATTCTCAAGTAAACCCCGCAGGAGTTCTTGCATCAACACCGTCTTGTCGACAGCACCATTTGAGAGACTATCAATGAATTGTTTGGATTCACTCTCTCCACCTTGCACCACTCCAGGCACCATAATATCGACCTTCTCGTCCTGCGGCTCATTGTGCACAAAGTTGCCCGTCATTTGTATAACCGTAGGTATATATCTCTTAGAAAGGTAGAGTTTTTCGTATTTATTTTTTCTCCCTATTTAAAGAAAGATACATGAGAGAATAAGGTAAGGAGACAAAAGAAAAGGAAAAAAAAAATCACATTTTTTTTTTCTTTTTTTTTATGAAAACGATATGTATCCAGTTTCTTTTTTTTTTCTCTTTAGTATTGTTGAAATTATACCTCCTGGTCAGATAATGTTAGAGTTTGCAGATAACAGGAAGAAAAAAATAAGGGGGGGGG